AATAGTTATTGTATACAAAAGAATTAGTAAGAAAATAAGTGGTAAATCAAATATGTCAAGTTCGAATCAATGAGAATGGAGAAAATAATCTTAGAAAAACTACCTCTTATATAGGGTCTTGAACTGAACTAGTCTAATAATCGTAAATCGGTAGATATATATAAAAAAATTCACGAGATGTTTTAAATTCAATTTTTGGAATTCTGTGAGAAATGATAAGACAATTTTTATTTTTTAATAAGGGTAGAAGTGTCCTATTGAGATGTAGGTAAAGAATTGGGAAATGGGATACCATAAAATCGAATTTTCGTCTTAATACCACATCTCCTTTTAAACAGAGTAAGTATCACTGCACTACAAGGCTTTTTAGAGGAGAAAATCTTCATTATTTATGTAGTATACATATATAATACACTTAAGTGTGACTCATGGTACTGCTTCTTCTTAAATCTGTGGTAAGAGTTTATATGGATTATACGGATGAATGGACGTTACGAAATTAGAAATTAAGAGCTCGAATAATATAAAGTATGCGAGAGAAGAATACAGAAGGCATTGAGAGTCTTAATCATCTAGATTTGCGTTGTCTTGTATCAGATTTAATATCCAATTGGAAAGCACGGATTGGCTTTAATGGCTTGTTATGTGAGGCTAGGTCAAAGTTTATTAATGGTGGGTCCGATTTATGCAAAAATAACGGTTTTGAATAAAATGAGAGTTGAGAAATTATAAACTATTAATTGAATATTTTGTATATCGATCACAATCAGTTTTACACATTTTCGGCTGGAATCTTGCTTTGATTGTCAAAGGAGAAAGCATTTATTCTCATGTTGATTTGGATGAATAACTTTATTTTAATTGAAATAAAAGGTCCAAAAACTTAATAAAATTTATAAATGTGACCTATTAGAAATTAAATTTTAAATTAAATATTTTATAAATAGTTAAGTTGTTTTCCCTTTTTATTTTTTTATAAGACCACGAAGTATTTCGACATTCTTTATAAATAATTGTGTGTCACTAAGGTACAAAGCTATTAATAATTTCTTTTAACTTTGTTTTTTCGTCTAAGGATATAAAGGGTACTTTTTCTTAATTATTTCATATTCATTTATCATCATTCCCTTTTTAATTTTAAATTATTTACACTGATGTCACTTAAATTTATCAAATTTATATTCGTAAGTTCCTCTAATTTTAATATTTACAAAGATTTCTTGTGAGAATTGCAAAACCTATGCTCACAATTGCTGTTTAAAGTTTTTCTCTCTATATACAACCAAACTTGTCAATAGAATTTTGTAACGATTAAGCTTTCTTTGGTATAATTTAAAATCCGCAAGTGTTACAATCTTCCAGAAAAATCATTCACCCTTTTTGTTTCAAAATTACATGTATGTCTCATCACCTTCAACTGGAGTAGAAGAGGAAAACAATTATTATATTGGATAGTTTTGACTTTGTATTGCTTCTATATTTTGTATAGTATTGTTTTCGAGGGATGTATTGCTAATTTGGAAATGAATAAATGGAAGGGCAATCTTCAGTTTCACGAAAGTGATAAGGGTATGTGCTATAAATGCTTTACAGAATCAAAAGGTCCCCACTCTTCTTATCAAAAGCTCCACATAACAATATCCTTATGCATTGATGTTTACATCCTCAAATATTACCAACCACATACCCTAAAGTTGGGTTCCATATTACGTTGTTTTTTTGTGCTTTCTCATCGCGGTAACATCACAATTTGGTTGTTAATTTTTGACTTCATTCTCTTTATTTTGAAAGGGATACATAACCCTTATCTTGAGTGAGACCAGTAGATATGTCTCAAATTTGAACACCATTTGGTGTCAAAAACGTTAATTCATCATAGAGCATAAAAAAAAGTAAATTGCAAGTTCTTGTTTAAATATGGAAGAACACAAAAAGAAAATGGTCACCTTCTCAATAATTGATTTGTGTCACCACATACAAATGAGACTTAAGTTCCTAGCTAATTCTTTATCAACCTCGTAAGCGATATAGCCTCAATACTTATCTTTGATGATTTTTTTTTTTTTTTTATCAATTTAGAAATTTTAGGGACAAAACTAGTCTAAATAACCGATTTTAATTTTTGTTTCTCAATTATACACTTTGAAAGAGTCATCTCTTCCGGAAGTTCACAGCAAATATTAGGTAATTCTTGAATTGAAAATTTGAAGTTTGATATGCTTTATTTTGTGGAAGTGCAGAAGCTAAAGTTATATTCTATATCCAAAAGGCCATGCACGCTTATGCAAAAGAACATGCATACAAATGTATACTCATGATCACTTCCAGGTCTTCTTTAGAATCTGGTTACATTTTTTTGAACATTTTTCATTTATTTAAAATTTGTGTCAATTTGGATAAGAATGGCACAATTAAATGCATGTATACAGAACTGTATATAGAAAAATTGAATTTATAGTATAATTTTGTCGATTACAGTTTCTAGTAAAATTTTGTATAAGTTAAAATGCTTAGCATCAAAGTGCTATTTACTATTTGGTTTATAACTATATGTGACTATCATTCTCTTTTTTCGGAAACATACTGAGTTTAACTTAATTTATATGTTAAAAAGAATGCTCAGTACACTTGGCATGTGATTAATCAAGAATTTAAATTCTATACAAGAAAGGAAAGTTAAAGAAAAGAAAAGAAAGCGAAGAAAAGCTGTCACCTTACGTAGCTTGCTACGAACATTACCGTATATAAAATTCGTTACGTTCCTTCATAAATGAAAATTAAAAAATATTATAATTTCATATTTAGCTGCATAATATATCTCCACAAATTCATTTTTTAGTTTTTTTTTTTCCCCTTAGATTGCATGATATTTACTGGTTGGGTTGTCTTGAGCAAACTTTTTTTATGGTAGAAAAAATAAAGTTCATATGCACAAGACAGGCGGTGGTGATCGATGCATGCATAGTAACCAATGTAAGAAAAAAAATGTTACAAATGAAATTATGGAGATATATGCAACTATAAATGGAATTAAATTATTTTTTATGAGGAAAATTTCGCACACTCTCCAGTAATTAACTTTGACAATTATAAAAGTGATCTTTAATTTAGTTTGTCAATAAGAGTATATATTCACTCATCTCTAGTAAGTTTATCCAATCAAAACCAGTAATACCAACAAATATCTCAACTCCTTCACTTCACACAAGTCAGTTTTGATTGTCATATTAATACATTTTTCCTTATATATGATCACATCCAGTTACATATTTTCAAGTTGCACCCAACATTTCCAATGATCAAAACTCGTGTTAATTGGAGTTTATATGTGAATTATGAGAGGTGGGAAATTAATTATTAAATGTGAATGATAGAATATATGTTAATTTGTCTTTGGAAGGCTAAACATTCACTGAAACTACGATAGACGGGTTAACAAGAATTTTTCAAAATTCATCTGGGTATCAATTTCAAAATTGTAACATGGGTCTACTAAAAGCGAAAAGTTAAAAGGGGTTTTGTTGTCTTTGCATTTTCATTTTTTTTTTCTATAATAAATTCAATTTTTAGTACAGTGAGTAATCGTGGCCTGAATATTGCATAAGGGAGGGAGTGAAAGACTGATTAAGGCATATATATATATATATATATATTGAGCAACTTGATCCATGATCCAATCTTAAAATTTTGCAAACAATTAAAAATTCCACAAGGAAAATAAATAAAAGTGGAAGGGGCCAGGTAATCAAGTATTGTAAAATATTATTATTTTGGTATCAAGGAGCTTATTGATCATTATTATAGTTAGTGATAGAGTTGAACTTGCACGTCTCATTTTTTATGCGAACTCATGGTATTAAGCGAGTGCCAATATCCGTGAGAGAGTCTTGGATATGTGGACATGCAAAAGGAAAAAATAAAAAATATTTATATTGCCTAGTTAAAGACATGACATATATTATATTACAAATTTGTATAATTAAGGTAAAATATACGCAAGATGGTTTGCATTAGCTAAAAAATTAAAATTGTATCGGTCGTTCACAGAAATCAATATTTGGTACCGTTAACGTGTTCATTAACAAAGTTCAATCACCCTGCATACTTCGCGATTTATCATGTGATAAATGCTACGCTGCAAATTTTTTAGTTTTGTGGATCATGTTCAAGACTTCTCTACAACATTAATTATCAAATACCAAAATACGAAGTTAATTTTATAGATAACGAGTTGTTACTCAGATAACTAATGCCAGTGAATCTTATAATATAAGACAACATATGCGTTTACAAACTATATTTTTACAAATTTTTGTAAATTACATTATGTATTCCCGAAAGTACTAACCGAATATACTTCTGAAAATACATAATATAGTTTGTAAGAATTTGTAAATATAACCCTCAGCATAATATAATATGCCAATGTGCTCTCTCTCTAGACAAATCCTAAAATAAATAAAATCTCTGTCAAATATATGATTGAAAACTTTTCCATGGCATTGACATAAAGCCAATGCTTTCTAAGTTTCTATTATTACCATTGTAGGTAATATGTCATTGATGTGTTCGTACTAATAATTATGCTAAAAAGGGTGTCGTACCACGAAATGCCCCATGCATACATAAACTGCCAAATATGATATTATGTACATAATGCATCGAGAAAACATTGTTCAATTCATATAAGAGGCAGTGTCCGTCATCATCATAGCATGAATGATGCCCCAAAAAGCTAGCTATGCATCCAAAAAATTAATAAAGGGTAGATCTCTATTTGGAATGTAATTAACTATATATGTTCAATATAATAATAAAGGTTAGAATTTTAGAAAGAGAAAGAGAGAGAGGAGAAGGAGTGAGGTGTCTTTTGACAAAGGAATCTGCATGTTGAATAGGGTAACTTTTTTTTTTTTTTAAATAAAAAATTCATAATATTGAATACATTCTTTTAAGTAAGGTTAGCTCCTTCATATATGCTTTATACTTGAGGAGGTAACCAAAGCCTTTCACACCCTCTCTTCTCTGAAACGCACCCTATTCTTCCCTATTTTGCATCGCATTTGTTCTTGAATCTCTTTGGTATTCCTCAGAGTCTTTCATCAGAGAGAGAGAGAGAGAGAGAGAGAGAAAGTGAGAGATGGAAAGAATGTTCCCTCCCAAGAAGCCCTCAAGTATGAATTCACATGATAGACCCATGTGTGTTCAAGGTGACTCAGGTCTTGTTCTCACCACAGACCCAAAACCTCGTCTCCGTTGGACTGTTGAACTCCATGAACGCTTTGTTGATGCTGTTACTCAGCTTGGAGGGCCTGATAGTACTATTCTTTTCCCTTTGCCTCTCACCCTTTTTGTTCTTTTCTTTATTTGATATGATATCTATGTTTATTTGGTTGGATCTCTATAATCTTTTAATTGTCTCTTTCTCTCTCTTCTTGCTCTTGAATTTGTAGAGGCCACTCCTAAAACCATCATGAGGGTTATGGGTGTAAAGGGTCTCACCCTTTACCACCTGAAGAGCCACCTTCAGGTCTGAATACAAAACATTTTTCTTCATATTTTTTTTTTTTAGAACACTTTATTGCACTGCTGATTTTTCTCAGGTTGGTTTAATGTTTCTCTTTATTACCTTTATCTTTATTATTTATTTTTCATTTGTTGTCTACATTTCATAGAAATTTAGGCTTGGCAAGCAGCCCCACAAGGAATTCAATGATCATTCAATTAAGGATGGTATGAGAGGTGACTCTTCTTTCTAGGGTTCCTTAATTTTTTTTTTCTTTTGAACTTTTATGATCTTTACACTTCATGATAGTTCTTTTATATTGACAAAATCTTTTTGCACTGGCTTCTTGTGCTTTTCTAGAACTGCAAAGAAGTACTGCTTCGTCTTCTGCCATCATGGGTCGCAACATGAATGAGTATGCCTCACTTCTTCTATATATATATATATATATATATATATATCATCTTTTGAACCAATACATGTAAACGAATTTGAAGAAAAACTTTTTCCAGCTTCTTTCTCTCCTAAGTTTTTCTTTTGATTCTTCTTTGGGGTGTGGGGGGGGATTCGGGTTTTCTTTTGTGTGACACTGTATTAAACAGTAACTCACACATGGTTGATGCGATTAGGATGCAAATAGAGGTGCAAAGAAGACTGCATGAACAACTTGAGGTAAACAAAACCCTTGGAGAATTTAAATTCCAAATAATTGCATATTTTCTCTTAAGTCTCTGCAATGGAACATTTTCTACATGGATTTAGGTGTATGATCTGGCAGGTTCAAAAACACCTTCAGTTAAGGATTGAGGCTCAAGGGAAATACATGCAAAGCATATTGGAGAAAGCTTATCAAACACTTGCAGGTGAAAACATGACATCTTCTGCCACTAACTTAAAGGGTATTGTACCTCATCAAGGGATCCATGAAATTGGAGTCATGAAAGAATTTGGCTCCCCTCTTAACTTTTCTTCTTTTCAAGATCTTGACATTTATGGAGGTGGTGACCAACTTGACCTTCAGCACAACATGGAGAAACCAACCCTTGAGGGGTTTATGCCAATTAATGAGAATTTGTGTCTTGGGAAGAAGAGGCCTAACCCTTATAGTGGTAGTGGAAAGAGCCCTTTGATATGGAGTGATGATCTTCGCCTTCAAGATTTGGGGACACCCTCATCATGCCTTGGTCCTCAAGATGATCCTTTCAAAGGTGACCAGATTCATATTGCACCAACATCAATGGATAGAGGCAGTGACATTGATTCCATGTCAGAGATCTATGACACAAAGCCCTTACTCCAAGGGGAAGTTTTAGGTGAAAAGAAATTTGATGCATCTATGAAGCTTGAAAGGCCATCACCAAGAAGAGCACCTCTTCAAGCTGAAAGGATGAGTCCTATGATCAGTACTGGTACCTTGGCACAAGGTAGAAACTCACCATTTGGTTGAGAGTTTTAGTTTTAGATCATCATTCGCTTATTATGCTATATGTAATTGATTTGATATGAAACTCTCTTAAAAGTACTATATCTAGGGTTTTTAATTTGGTTTTGGAAATTAGCAGTTCATATGAGGGTTATTTCCTCCTCAAGTACTGTTATGTGGTATAATATAATGCCTTTGCATGGCAAACCAAAGTCTTATCTTACTAATATAATATTCTCTCACTTGTAGTTTTTACATCTAGCATTGTTTCGTACCATTATGATTTATTATTTTATTTTATATTGAATGTTGTTAACATTTTTATTAATTAATTTGCATCTATGATGGGCACTTGTCTGCATGTTTTTATAATCGATGAAAAAAATGCTAGCTTTTCTTATTTTTATCATATTGATGATTTTTTTTCTTTTTTTTATCTTTCCTCTTGGGCCTACTTCTATTTTTTTTTTAAGTTTAACATCATATATAAAAAATTCTCTGCGTCACTATTAAGCAGTTTCTTCCTAGAATAGTTATTTTGAGAGATGATATGTGTACGTTAATATCCAAAGCAGAAGAGGTCAATCAATGTTGCATCCAGTTCCAGTAGTAATCAAACGTCAGCACATAGATTGTGCCATGGAAGCGATTTACTGTTCCAATTCAGTGACTAGGTGATCATGTGCAGTACATTAATACTATGAGATTTGAATGGAAGAGGGAGGATAAAATAAAAATTAAATTAAACAGAACAAATTTGAATTAGGAACGTGAGTAACATTAAATAATTAAATTAATGACATTTATTGATGTTGATACTGCTTACCATTTTGTGTCTAACTACTTGGACTTGTTTGGGGCCTTTTAGGTGACTTTGTTACATATAAATCATCAATTAACCTTTATAAGAGTTAGTTATTAATCATTTTAAGTTAGTTGGTACAAGTTAGTTACCCAATGATTGAACACAAATCTCTCGGGAAAATATAACAACAACCCAAATAGGTTTTATTTAATTTTATTTTTTCTAATGAAGAAAAGACAAATCCGGGCCTCCAAGAATATATATAACATGGAATTTAGAAAGATAGAGCAGTGAAGGTGAAAAAGGTAAAAGAGAGAATAATCAACTTTAAAATGCAAAGTCATTTTCATAGTGTACAGGTACACTGCCATATGATCCTTTTCCTTGAAGTTCCTAAGATATGAGTTGAAGCCGACAGAGAGTATCTGTCTTTCACTATCTTTCGGTCTTTCCTCTTCTTTACTGCTATATATTCCATGGGAATAAGATGATCATGACAACAAGGTTACATCTTATTATTCAAGATTTCATTTGGGAATTTCATTTTTATCTTTTAGATTTCTCCATTTATCGATCACTCAACTAGTCCAGACAAGAGTACAAGGATGCTATCCTTATAAAAGTTGTAACATAGTTGCATATTTATAACTTCAACTCGAGATCACGATTCATCAACATCATCATTAACAACACCTTTATTCTAAATTAATTGGGGTCGGTGGAACTCTGAGATCACCAATTAAATTGAAAAAATTCTAGTAGATTGATTCACTTGTTTAGGGTCACCGAGAAATTACTACCCTTTTTCCTTGTCTAATGAAATTTTGTATCCAAAATTCCAAAAAAAAAAATGAAATTTCTACCTTTACTAGATTAGTTATGCAGAGTAAATAATAACTACAACCCTAGTAGAAACGTCCTTTTGAGGAAATTAACCTCCAATATGCATTTTACATATAAATTTTACTCTGCGTAGATCAAGCGATTCTTATGTAATCAAAAGAGAGATAAAAAAAAAAAAAAAGTGGGACAATCCTTTTGCTGCTGTTACTGCTTTAGATAATATGTAGTAATCTTTTGGTACATTTTCTTCATAGATTTATGAAGACCCTATTAGTAGCCATACCTTCCAGCGTGTTAATCCTTGCTTTAGAAGAAGTATAATCTTTATATATATATATGTATACACAAGCACAAGCACACACATGACACATGCACAAACCTTCTCCCTGTCTCCATTTCTATACATGTCTCTCTTTTCTGATATTTTTAATGTGACTATGTGAATAAGATCCATTACCTTGAAGCTTTTCTTTCCCAAGGATAAAAAAAAGGTTGGCGCCACAACCTTTATTGATTGCAGAGAAATTTTATGCACTGCAAGTTGTCAAGAAAGCTCCCTTACTCCACTAGTGTAGTAGTACTCAGAGAGAGAGAGAGAGAGAGAGAGAGAAGAAAAGCTAATAAAGCCTAAAGGGTAGGAAGAATACAACGCACTTCCATGCGTGCACATATCGAGGAAGCTTCTATCTTTATGTGCACAAAGTTAAGTGTCTTAACATTTAAAGCTGAATGATGTTGCATCATCAAATGTAACACCTTCGTTTTTTTTTTTTAATATTATTACTATTTCAAAGTATTTCTAATCATATTGTTAATTTAGTAAACACATCTTATTGTGTTTACTTTCCGAATTAACGCAAGGAAGTTATGTAATCAGGCATGCACGTTTTTCCATGCACATGTAAATCATTAGTAGTTCAATTCATGCACTTTATGTTCCGTTTACTATCCCATTCAGAGCTTCGGGTCTCGTAAAGAATTTACTGTATAAATCTAACAAAGTAAAGCACAGAAGCTTCTTTTGTCCCCACAATCCTTCTCTTCTCCCTCACAAACTCTCCAGCCTAATAGTTTCCAAGAAAATCAGTCACAGTATAAGAGGCAAGAAACATTCATTCTTTTGAGCTCTTTATTTTTTAGCATAAAAGAAACCAAACAAAGAAGCATGCAAACAAATAACTCTAGCTAGATCTTTAGTATTATTTGTCTTTAAAATGCTTTGTCATTGCTAGCATTGCCTAGTTGTTGGCCAATTAGAGGATTCAATTTATTGAATTAAAAGTGATGTTGGGGATTTGGTTAAATATTATATTATATGCTTTAGTGAAAAAGCAAAAGGAACAAGACAAGGAAAGTACTTTTGATTAAGAAAGGATTATAGTAGTTTGCATTGATTATCTTAATCATTTGCTTTGAGTTTTTTTTTTTTTCCTTACATTTTCTTTTACTTCTTTTTTTTCTTCTCTCTTCTTTGGGTCAAGTTAGCTTTTAAGTTGCGAATGACTCCAAGTACTGTTGTCCAATATGACTTGATTTTGAGAGACCAAAAACCTCAAACATGAATTGATTGTTTTTTCTTGTCAATTGTGAAGGTGAATAGATTAATTCCAATGCTGATTAATTATCACTGCCTTTATATGCCTTTGCTTTGTAATCAAGCAATGTTTGGCTTTTTCTATAGCTAGGAGGTTAAACTATGAAGAAACATCAATTCCAGCATACTTGGAAAGTATATTAACTAAACACGTCAAATTTAGACAAATGCGATATTAGATCCATTATACAATTGACAGTATATGTTGAATTATATTAAGATAGCAAGCTTTATGTTTAACATGAAAAACGACTGATCTCCTTAGTCATGAATAACAAAGGTTAAACGTGTAACTAATTAACTCCTAGCTCACTTGGCAACTGAGCTCCCAAGGATTTGCTTGAGTAAGGGGTTCAAACTTTGCTTCAAGCAAATTCTTGAAAAATCTTTAGGGGCCAGAGGATGTGCCTCCTTCTTCGAATGGAGATTAGTCTCATCTTTCTTCCGGTAGTGAAACTCTATGCACCCGCTGTTTGGGGTAGCCTTCAGGGCAGTACTTCGAGGACAAGATGACCGGAGGAGATTGAATGAGGATACCTCCAGCTTCTTCCTCCGGTAGCGAAGCTCTATGCACCCGCTTTTCCAATGAGGGGTAGCCTTCAGAGCCGTACTCCGAGAACAAGATGATCGGAGGAGGTTGAATGAGGATACCTCTAGGTTATACCCAAAAAAAACATATAACTAATTTGTGCTAAGTTTTGATTTTATTTATAAATCTGATCGATAGTTTTTGTAATTGTACTTATGGGAAGCACGTTGATCTTGAGTTTAATCCTTTACACCGTGTGAAAAATTAATTTATTACGTCAACTTTTTTTTGGTAAACATTATTACGTCATTTTATTTAGCTCTTACCGCACACAAAATGCCCCTTTGATTTAAAATAGTCACTAACAATATTCAAAGATGATTTATATGGTGTTGACTGAATAATTATCTACAAGGTTAATTAATCCTAAATATGGAATTAAAGTTCATTAGAAATTGTAATTGTCTTTATAAATATGTAATGGTCATTAATTATGACAGTCGGGGACAAATTACCTTTCAAAAAGTTTGTTTTAGATGGCAAAGAGAGAACGAAAATAGAGAAATTCGGGTCTATTGCGAATTTTCAATGTTGATATTTTGAACATAGCATTTTATTTTATTTTTGGGTAAAATCTGATTGTAACATTTTATCTGCTCCATTTACTAAACGTTTTCTAATAACAAGCCATTGAAGTAAATATATTTCAGGCTTACATGCCACTACTAAAAAAATTGGTATTAGAGACGGACAAATTTCGTCCCAAAAAGTCATGAATTCGTCCCTAATTGGGGACAGAATTTGAGACGAAATAATTTCGTCCCTGAATCGCTCCTAGCTAATGTTTTGGGACGGAATAAAATCCATCTCTGACTTGTGTTTTCCATCCTTATTGTTGTCAACAGTTAAGAGTTGTAAAAGTTAGGAATCCGTCCCTAATAGGGACAGAATTAGGGAAGGATTTTGTGCTTCTCTATTAGGGACGGATTTTGTCCGTCCCTATTAAGGCTTGTTTGGTGTGACGTATAAGGCCTGATACTATAAGCTTAAATTATATGTTATGACATTTTCAGTTGTTTGGTGTGACCATCGTATAGTATAAGCTTATACAGCAAAATTTCTTAATACATCAAAACGATGTATAACTTAATCTGGCCTAAGGGGGAGGTATAAAGCCTAATAAGAGGTTAGTGTATTAACATCGTTGGCAGTGCAATTCTCAAAAATTAATATATTATTTTAATATTAATATATTAAAATAAAAATTAATTTTTCAATATATTAATTTTTAAATATTGAACATTTTTATTTTTACAAAAAATAATTTATGTTTTGGTTACACTGATCAATAAATTTTTATAATAATTAATATCATATGACATTTTTTGAAGAATTATATAAATTCTTTATTAAAGGATATTTTTATTAAAATTATTTTTTTTATTCTATATAGTATATACAGTGCATTATCAAATAGTAGATGATTTAAG